CTGGCCCCTCTGGCCCACTTTGGCCCACACAAGACTCAGACCCCACTGGTGCCCTCTGGTTGGCTGGCTTGGCTGACCTGCCCTGCCTGCGATGTCTCCCTTTTGACCTCTCACTGTACACAGCAGTCCCTGGGAAACGAAGGTGTGCTCTGCAGTAAGCTTTTTCCAGTCCCTCCCATCCCTCAGAGGCTGTTCTCAGGAACTCTAGAACTTTCTCCCTAATAGTTACTATGGCACTGCTCAAGACTGCCTGTAGGCATATTTTCTCTAGATTAAGGCGTCTTTGGAGGAGAGTGGTGAAGCCTTCAGGGCAGGAACTGTGTCTGACCACAAACTTCACCTTACACTCAAGGAGCATGGATCAGTGTCAGCATGCTCAAGTACACAAGAAAACCCCAGCATGAGTGATACCCATCACCCCCTGCTTGCACAAGAGGAGCACACACATTCAAGGTGAGGGACACAGACAGGGAGGGAACTGTTCTAACTCAGCTCCAAGTAGGATTAAAGCCTAGTTCTGCTGGGTAGTGTGTGTGGGACACCAGTATCTCTAGACACAGGAAGCTTCAACCTCGTCTTGGGGGCTTTACCTACAGGGAAAGCACCTACTCTATTAGGGAGCTTTGCTAGTTACAATGCGCAGGGAGTCAGAAGCCTGAGTCCCTACCTCTAAACCAGAATAGGGGTTCTTGAGTCCCAAACTCCCAGAGCCCTTCTACCTCCTTGTCCATCACGTTAGGAAACTTCTGGAGCCACTCAGGAAAAAGTGCTCCTCACAATCATGTCCCCAAAGCTTCTCCACTACCTGCGATTCAGTTGAAGTTCAATATACATGTGAGGAATTTGGTGCAAGGAAGTAGAAACATGAAAGACTTTTTGTGAGAAGTTAAAAGGAAATTTGCAAAATATTAGTGCTGTATTTCTTTAACTTGTCTCTCCTGGATAAGGCAGTATCACTACTCTTGGGATCCTGCCTGTACCTACAATGTTATGATACACTTAAATAGCAGAATGATGAACTTGTGACTATTGCTGAAGGATTATACCACTGTAACAATACAGGAGAAATCAGTGTGGGGAGAAGAGGGATAAAGAAGGTGGAAGGGGAAATTCCTGAGCCTATGAAACTGTAACATGAAAAATAAAAATAAAAATAAATTAAAATGGGACAGGAAAAACAACAGCGCTAAGCTCTAGATCTGATCAGATCCCACCTTACTCGCATACTGCCAGGTGACATCAAGTTCACTTTCAATCTGGTTTCCTATTCCTCTTTTCTAGTCTTTCCATTCCCCAGAGGACAGTGACATTCTATACTGTGTGGTGACTTCACTTTCAATTTCCTGTCATGTCCATGGTTAAGACAGAACTGACACACTGCCCTCGTATATGAAAACTTGCACCATTTACTGTCAGGAGGAAAAATAGCCTTGCATCATGAGACCAGCTGACAGCAGCAGGTTTAACCTGTCTAGTTCTGGTCCCCAGTTCTGCATCCTTTACAAAAAAAAAAAAAAACACAACAACAACAACAACACACCTATCACTGGCATCCGCCGTGCTAAAGTCTGAGGAGGTGGCCTAGGCTCTTTAATTTTGAAGGTCACATGAGAAAGCTGCTGTTTGTCCACAATGAAAGACACACACGCTTGGTAGTGTTAGTCACACAGCACCGTGGACTTGTTCTTTAAATGCCTTTGCTTCCTTCTGCCTGCTGAGTTGCAGCTTCTCAGGTCCCATTCCCATGCACCTCTTTGCAAGCAGACATCTTTTGTAAGAACTCATTTATTTCCATTAAGACCTTAGGGCTCCCAACCCTGGTCTATGGAGCCCAGTGGTGTTGAGTCCTCCCAAGAGTCCTAGGCCACCCCAAGAGGACAAGTGTGCTTCTCCATGCGGGTGGGTGTTTCAGCAGGACAATGTTACCTGTCCCTTGATGGTTCTAGCACTGGCCAGGAAAGGGCGGCCAGTGGCATGTACAGCTCAGCCCCTGCCAGCAGCAGGCTTCCATTTGCCTAGATGGAAGGTGTCAGGTGACTAGTGGGTGTTAGCTCATACATTCAATGGGTGCCTATTCCGTACTGGCCTCCAAGTGTAGCTCTAGGGATCCAATAGAAAGACAGGTAAGATTCCTATCCTCATGGAACTTAACAGTTTAGTGGAATCAATAGATATGAGTCAAATACTCTCAAATAACTATAAATTCATAACTGCCAAGAGTTCACCAAGGAGGGTTATGTAGTACCAAGGGAGCCATTAACTAGGGGGCTTGACCCGCTTTTGAAAGTCAGCAAGATTTGCCTAACAAACTGTCTCTGCTGTTGCCAGGAAAAATATAGAAACAATGTACCCTGCACTGAAACTACAGAGTTCAAATATTTCAAATCTTACAGGGGCAGTACCAGCCACGCCAAGAAACCCTAGAAAGAAACTGTTGCAAATGTCACCAGTCAAGGGAATGGTGGGTGGAAATTAACTCCTGTATAAACATGAAGAGCCAAGGTTCAGTTAAATAAGGTCAGCTGCTCCCATTTGCAACACTGGAGACCTGTGGCTATGCAACCTTGCTTCTAAAGCATTTATCTTTAATGCACTGTTTATCTTTAACAAACTGTTTATCTTAATTTTTTTTCAAAGAAAGACCTTGTGGATTATTCCATGGTACACTCTCTCTTTGGATATAAAAGATATCAAAGGGGAGATAAAACTATGGATGGATAACCATGAAACAACCAGGCATTTGTTGAAACGGGGTTAATAAATAAGAACAAATGCTACCAGAGAATAAAGTCTAATGCTTTGGTGCCAAAAAATCAATTGTGCAAATACTACAGGGCTGACTTTTCTTGGCCAATGCTCTATGGCAGAAACTTAAATGTTGTAACAATCTACATTTCATAAAACCTAATAAAAGTTAGCATTAGTAAAAGTTACATGGAAAAAAAGTTCAGTGTCTAGCTCATCAGAATTAATCCTCCCACTCCATTCCTCACTGGCAAGGCCAACCCTAGAAGACTCAGGATCAGTGGTATTCCTGGTCATCAGATAGGAGCATCATAAAAGCTGATGCTAGGTCTAGAAGCAATGTGAAACAAAGAATAACTGGAAGACCCAATGCAGGAAAAGGACCCAAGAGGGGCTTCAAGTTGCTATATGATTTGCCATCCTGACATTGGGCTCTTCCTAGCTCGCCAACCAGGGACTCCTATTTGGCTCGAGGGGTCCAATCTAATTGGTCCAGCACTTCCCACATAGGTCTGTTGGAGAAGACATTACTGAATATTACTACCAAAAGGAAAGTATTGTAGTTAATTATGTGTGGACATAATTGTACCTACAGGATTCCTTACGGTAATTAAAATGTTTCTGAATCTTCAAATGCCAACATCATTGTGAATCTGCAAGATAGAGAGGTGTCCTCCAAGTTTCCAAGTTTTTCTTGACTCCCCAAACCTTGTCAAACTAGTATTCTTCCACATTCCCACACACTACAGGAAACCTAATTCTAATTTCCTCTTTCCACTAAGCTAAGCACTGATTTAAGGAAGGGTAGGATATGTGGCAGAAAAATCGAAGGTTTACCCACGGTGCTTGCCTTTAGGGACGTTTTCATCCATGAAGAACAAATGGTATAAAGCCCAGTATAGATAATACTAGAGAACCTTGATGAGAGAAGCCCACCTCAAGGATCCTCAGGCATCAACATAGTGTCCTGTGGAATAATGTGGCACCATCTGTACTTACAAAGTGAGAAAGGATTACATAATGGTCTTGTAATCTCTGTTCAGGGATCTAGAACTTTGGAAAGTCATCTACCTCCTTAGTGGAATATATTCAACTCCAAGACTCACTTGTCCTTCTTAGTACTTTCTAACTCTCCAAACGATTCACTGTGAAAGAGTACTGCCCTTCTCTGAAGGATATGAAACTGTTCAGGATTTTGTAAATGTATGCCTCCAATTTATCCATGTATTCTATCCACCCTATCTCCAGACTTGGAGGGAAGAAAAGGAAATCTGAGTTCCATTCCCTTTAACCTCGCATGAATGGCAATCCAATTAACTGTGAGGCAGACAGAGGCTTGGTTTTGATCTTCTTTTCTTTGTTAAAGGTTGGCAGCCGTGTTTTAAAGGACTGAGCTTATTAGTTGCTTTACTTGGATATATTTGAGAGGAGAGGCTAAGAGTTGTGGCCATCTAAGTACCTCACAACCTGGCTGAAGACCAACTCATGGGAAAGGGCCACACACCTGAATAGATGTTTAGAAAAGAGAGATTGATGTAGGTACAACAGGGTACTGGGGAAGGCCATGGAAGAGGTGGGAGTTCAGGTCAATATTTGGACAGGCATAGATGGAGAGGGAAAGCACAGAAAGTAACGTGTAAGGGTGTTGGGTCATCCCCAGAGTGTACTCCGTCTCACTCTTTGACTGTACTGCTGTGTCAACATATGCCTTCATGCACAAGGATGTGTTTTTAATTTCTTGATCACCTGGCAATTTACCACTACCTTAATGGTCTCCCTTCATCTATCCTTGATAAATTGGTAACCATTGCTATAGAAAACTTGGGTCTATGAAAGAGGAAGATTTAATGCTGAGCTAAAACCTCTCCTTAAATAAAAACGAAAAACTGACTTGCTCCACCATATTTCTTCCCAGAAATGAAAACATTTATAAAGGTTTCCTTGACCACTGAGGAAAGAAAAATCTGTTTATCACTCTGTTTAATCCCTGCAGACTCAATGGTCACGCCACAGAGGAGGCCCCCAAACTTCCTGTCTCCTAGATGTGATCCTCTGAGAGCAAAATTAGCCCTCCTGGCGGAACATGCTCACTGCTTTTCAAATGTGTATACCACATCAGGGTTGTTATAAATAAATTGTGTCTGGATTTAGGACACATCAGCCACCGTGCTATTTCAGTGCTATCTTAGCAGTCTAAGCTTTCACAAGAAGTAGTGTTCCAGGGAAGGAAATGCTAGCACAAGAGTGTGACTTACCGGTCCCGAAGCTCTCCTCCCCACAAAGCGACAGTTTGCTTGCATCCATCAGATTCCCAAAAAACTTCCAACCAGTTGGGGTCTCATACAAAGCGATCTTTGTAGCATTAGCCACCCTTCAAAGGCATGAAATCAAAGTTACATCACAGCAGGAGTGTGCACAGGGCCACTTGAGAGATGAAAAAGAGCAACCGTTATTGTGATCAGGGGTCCCATTTAGCATTGCTCAGAGGCAGACATAATTTGAGGGCTGGTAGAAAAATCGTATGGGGAAACTTGCACACAATGGGCTATTCTGTGTGGGTTCAGAGGAGGTGGAGACAGAGGCAGAAGAAAGAACTAATTCAGATCACTGAGTTCAGTGGTTTAGAAGCACCCATACTGAAGCAGACAGGGCTGCTGTTCGGGTGATTTATCCACCTGCTTTGGATACAGACTGCCACTACAACCCTTCTTTAATGAACAGAAGGATGGTGTTTAGATGCACTTGTAATCACAGAATCAAGGACTACTGGGTCTGGGAGCTCAGCATTTCAGAGAAGGGAATGGAGTCAAGCATGTTATGGTATCAGGCCAAGGTCACACAGCTGGGATGCTGGACAGCCTGTGACTCAGCTTCCCCACCACTGATCTTTTCATTTTATCTCAAGGTCCCACAAGGAAAGTGGACTGTGAGGCCTCCCTGGTCCCTTTGCCTTCCAACACATTTGATTTCCCCCTCCACAGCCTTGGTCTATTTTAAATCTTTGGGTGAAGGTTTTTTGTTTTTGTTTTTAACCCCTCTTTCTTGAAGCAGGAAAAGTTAGGTTTCTAGTCATTGCTTTGGTAGGATCTGCTTTCCAGAACACTTGCCTTAGTGCTGGCAGAGCAATGACATGTTTGGAATCTGACATTTGAGGAAAGCAAATGTATGATTCTGAAAACTAGGAAAATACAATGAACTTTTTAATCTGGGAATTGAGTTTTTTCAGTTACAGTTCTACATGAGGACCATCCATTTTTTCCAAATATGACGATTACACTGTTCAAGGGTGACACAGCAGATATTTTATATCGTAACAGGCCTGATGCATGATAGTGTAGCCACAAGTCAGAACTGTCATCCATCCACTGGCACACTAACATTTACTCATTCATTAAAAAAATAACAAGCAAACCTACATGTGTATGTGCACTATTATGCACCAGGTACACTCATAGGGCAAGAGTATAGAGACTGGTGGGACAGCCATGATAAAGTGTCAGGATGCAGGAAGTACAGGGTGCTAAGACAATGCTGCAGGGGCAGGGAACATCTAATCCTGACAAGCTCTACCCATCGCTTCCACTTGGCACACACATTGCAGCAAATGCCAAGGCTGAAAAGGGAGAAAGCATGTTCTGGGCACAGGGAAGGGTATCGTGAACTCCTTGATGAAACAAGGAAGCAAGGCCAAGGGGAAGGAGAGACCTACCTGTCCAGGGCCCCGCTGGTGGGCATGCTACGGGCAAAGCCACGAACCCCAGTCTGCTGGAAGTAGGGAATGCTGAAGATGTTGGCAGCAATGACGGCCACAGAGTCCGAAGGGTTCACAAAGAACCCATGTTTGCCCAGAATCATGTTTCGGTCCTTCGGGAGAAGAGAGATTCAAAGAAAGGCTTATAAAAAACCAAATGACTAAAGAAATCAAACTATCTTCCAGGGAAGTTTTCTACAATGTAAACCTGACACATTGACTCATAGAGTACCATGCTTTGAATGCTGGCTTTTATTTTTCACGGATTTGTGCAATACCATTGGGTCAGAGGCACCTCCACGCCAAAGCGTTGAGACTGTTTTCAATTAAAGAGCAAGTACAAACTCCTTTTGAGCCAAATACTGTGTTCTCGCTTCAGAGGCCAGCTAACTTTAACCTCTGAGACTTCTTCCAAACTCTGGAACCAATCACTTCTCTCCCAGAGGGGCGCAAGAGAGGCAAGGCAGGAGGAAACGCAGGCTATTTAACAAGTTTGGTGAGTCCACCAGGCATCCTTCAAGGAACAAGGACAGTTTTCTTCAAGGAAAGGCTTCAAAATCATGGCCCTTCATTTGGTCCTGGACTCAGCAAAGTGTGCTGCCACTGTCACTGCCTTTGTCGTGGCTGGCACCCAGATTCCACTCAAGTGACTCAGGGAATATAGAGGAAGATATTCCCAGCATGTATTGTACCACAAAGATGCAAAACAATGTCTGCTAGGAACTCCTTTAATTTCTGAAAACTTTGAGATGGGAAAAACTACTGTCTGTGAGATGCCAGAGGTATAAATGTGACTAAGACATGCCTCTTCATGTCTGTTACACAGTCACCAATTTAAGTCAATCTAAACAGAAACAGAGGTTTTAACTGTAGAGAAGGAATGAACTCTTAGTTCAATATGGTCTTCATATATGCTATAAAATCAGTTTCATCATGTATGTGAATGAATAAAAGGGTATATTGCTGACTTTTAAAAATAGATTTGCTTTAAAAAGACCGAGATGTAGAAAGAGAGAGAGATCCAGCAACTGGTTTATTCCCCAGATGACCACAATGGTCAGAGCTGGTTCAGACTGAAGTCAGGTGTTTCATCTACTGCTCCCATGTGGGTGCAGTGGCCCATTCACTTCCCAGACACATGAACAAGGAGCTGGAGCAGAAGTGGAGCAAGCTCAAAGCGATACTCATGGGATGTATCTTGGGCACCACAGGATGCCAGGGACACAGGTGTTGTCTTAACACATCATACTACAACACCACACCCCCTACCACTGCTGCTGCAAGACAAAACCTCTTCTAGGGATGAAATAAGTAGCAACTACTGATGGAGAACAGAAACCTGACTTAGGAGAGGTATCCAGGACTCAGCAAGCTCAAGGCAAACCAGTCATTACATTCTATCTGGAGCCCAATGCCCCAGCCATTCTGAGAAAATCTGAATCAAATGCCTGCTGGATTGCATTATGTTTCAGTGACTCTCACTGTCTCTGTTCAGCAGGGTCTTCTAGCAGTTTCTTCCTGGCCTCAGGCACAAGGCTGGATCCTTGATGTTTGCTTACCAGGCTTCCAACGCTTGGTAGAAGCAGTGATTTTATTTTCCCCCCAGCTGCATCATCTAGCCTGGCCTGCATTAGAGTTCACTCTAATGAACTGGTACTCACCCCATCTCCATCAAAAGCGGCCCCGAAATCGTGTTCCCCAGACTTCATAGTCTCCACCAGGTCAGCTGCGTAGGTGAGGTTGGGGTCAGGGTGGTGACCTCCGAAGTCTTCCAGAGGAACACAATTAACTGCTGAGTTTGCAGGGGCTCCCAGCTCTTCACAGAGGATCTTCTTGACATAGGGGCCTACGACTAGGCAAAGCGTGAGACAGAAGGAGAGTCAGAGACTCGGACTTGCCAGAGTCCATAAGGGTTGAGGGGGAAGGGAGGGTGAGCTGAGCATGTCTGGAGAGAACAGCAGTAACAACAATGAGAATGTGCACACTCACAGGCTAGCAGAGAGCAGCGTGAGTGGGCAAAGGTTCCATATGAAAGGAACCGTGAGCGATTTGGCTGGAAAAGGTGGAGCCTGCTTGTAAAGGAAAGAGTAGGGAGAGGGAAGGGCTGGAACCACAGGGACTCCCTGCACGACCATTTTCTAATTCAGTCCTTCTGAAAGGCCCCCAAGGTGCTACGGCTTAGTGCTCTAGAGTCTGCTCTCTGGAATCAGAGTGTCTGAACTCCAATACCAGCTCTGCCAGCTGCTGACAGCACAACCTGGGCAAGGTTAGTTATTCTCTCAGTGCCTCAGTCTCTCCCATCTGCAAAGTGAGGATGGTGACAGTGACCACCTGAGACAGTGGCTGAGGCAAAGGTATGAACGCCTCAAAGTCAATATCCCTTTAAGGGAGTGAGAGGAAGCCCGGGATGCCTCAGTGGTGAGGCTTGGGGCTGGGTGCAGGGACCAGCCCTGGCGGCCTTGACCACACCCTGGTGCATCAGTTGTCTGCCTCCTATGTGATCCCTCATAGGAGGCACATGGTCTGTAGTGTTCCTGACCTTCGTGGCATGTCACAGGATTGGGGACTTCCTAGTCGGAAACCCATTCTCAGTGTTGTGGAGAGAAGAGTCCTTGACAGTTTTCCAAAATGTTGCTGTAAATGAATGTAACAATTTTCTCCCATTACTGTCCCTTGGTGTTGTGTTTGTTTTGCATTATTGTCAGACAACTTGACATGGTAGGGAGATAACAACTCTGAATCCCAGTTCCCACTCAGTCTTAGTTGTGTGAGTTTATACAAATATCTTCATTTTAGAACCTGCCCCGCCACCTTTCTCTCTGGAGTAGGTAAGAATCTTAAGGTATTTTGTAGCTACAGCCACTGCCTCTCATGGGAATGACTCAAGCTTAATCCTACACCACCCTAAACTCTTTCCCCAAAGCAGAGTGTGTTGCCCTCCCCCCTGTTTCTCAGGTAACCTTTCCCGACTGTCCCCAGGGCACTATGTCTTCTTCCATGCTCCAGAGAGAGTACTGGGAACTCTAACCTTTGTGTTGTCAGCCTGCCAGAGGCCAGTTTTCCACCTGTTCCCTATCTCCCAAACCACATCCCCATCTCTGTTTCAAGCACATCTGAATCAGGTAGGCAATCAACAGAAGTCTGTTGAGTGCTCTAAAGGGACCACATCACATACGGAAGGAAGACAACAAGAGCCCAGGGAAAAGTCTCAGAGATGGTTCCAGGAGAAGTCTTTCTACTCAAGTCTGCCAGTGTAGCAGTGTTACTGTAAGGGTTCAAGAGCAGGTAGAAAAACTTCCCCAAACAGGCAGGCACCATAGAGAATCCTTGTAAATATGGGATCCTAAAATTCCAAATCACTGTCTAACAAAATAGACTGCATTCAGTGTTCAGGAGCCTTCCCAGTTCTACTTGGGAGAAAATTTTACCATTCCAGGGCTTATAGCAACTGTTTACTTGCTCTTGTCTTCTTCTAAGGGCAGGAGCATGCAGGGACAGGTGAGGGAAAGTGTAGGGCTAAGGAACTTGTTTACCACATCTAGGACATGGCCCTCCCCTTAGAAAGCCATGGGCCACCATAGGAAAATGCAAGGTAGGGTTCCCAACCACAGCTGCATGTTACTGCAAGCCTGAGGCTGCATGTGGAAACACTGACCTGCACACCGGCTCACCAGGAGGATGGGCTCCACTGGTTTTTGTTGCATATAATTAGGCTGTAATCTGCATGATTACTGCTCTGAAATGAATGTGAAATGATTCTGTCTAAAGACCTTCTAGCCCAGAGAGACTTGAGAAAAGATTTAGGAAAGCTTTACGCTCTGCATAGTAGAAAGTAACTTCACTGCTTGGAGAGAAGGGAATGGAGGGGAACTCAATCCCTACCTCCGTGCATGGCATCTATACGGATCTTCAGGTGGTTTGGACCAGAGAGCAGTTCTTTCAGTGCATTGAAATCAAAGATGTTTCTCAGCATCGTGGCATAGGCTTCTACTGAATCCACGATTTCCACTGTGAGACCAAGCAAAATGAAAAGACAGAGATACATGGAACACATGCACAAATACTGTCTCCTGCTATAAACCTGCAATAGCTACTTTCAAAGGACAATTACTGAGCAACTCCAATTTACCATGGCTGTTAAATGCTATCCTATTCAATACTAACAACTGCCCAAAAGGTCAATGTTATTAGTCCGATTTTACAGATGAGAAAAGTCAAGGTGTGAAAGGATGAGAAATGTATCCGCTGAGCAGGGATGCAGCTTGGAGGATGGTGGGTGTAGGCTGCATAGAGTCCGCTGTATCACCACATTGCTCCCAGTTCTTCACCATGACAGATGAACACTGGTGTCACAGGCAACAAAGTGGGATGCCTACTTTTCTTTCTGTTTCCAGGTCCACTGTCATCAAAACTCAATGCTCAAAGCACAAACAGATGTTTTTCACAGGCTCTGCTCTAGCAATGAGACAAACATGCGACTTTGGCCTTGTTGTTGCTCTTGTTACTGGATTTTCAGGGGTTCTGAACATTTTGAAAACATCAGGAGTTAAAGAAATCTCTCTGCTGGCATTTTCTGAATGCGCCAAGATGGTCTTTAGGATGGACCATAGCACATATGCTGAAAAGCAATCGTCAGCTCTCATAAAAATGGGAGTCATACCGCATCCCATGAACACACATTACTAGGCATTTACCCTGCCTATTACTCTAATCCCTTGGCATTTAAGAATGAAATGTGAACCACAGCTGCCCATGCAGAGAGTTCCAAGGCAGCTCCCAAATGATCTGAGGGACTTTACTGAATTTAGGGCAGATAAAAAAAAAAATTGAAAGCCTAGGCTTGAGAACCTGTGGAGCTGGAATCCTGGTTGCCCTGTTCTCTGACCACACAACCTTGATGAGCCTTTAACTTTGCCTGCCCCTGACTCATCTGTAAACAGTGAATCCTGACAGCACTGCCCTGCCAGGGATACTGGGAGAGTAAATTAGAATGCAGATTGTGTATATTAATCTGAAAATCTGAGAACCAAGGTGCTCTGAAATCTGAAAACTTTTGGGAGAATTTCAGATTTTCAGATTTGGGACACTGGGCCGAATATTTATGCCAAAATTCCAAAATCCAACCCAGTTCCAAATCGGAAACACCTCTGGGCAAGAATGTCTGGGATAGAGGCCACTTGGCCTGCAATGCATGGGAAGGGTTTGCACAATAACAGTTAACTGTTACATCTCCTAGGTCTTCTAGTCAAAGTTGTAGGTTGCACAGGTATGGAAATTAAGAGAGTTGACAGGGATTTACCAAAACTCAGAAAGCACCTAGGGAGCCTGAGTCACTGTTGACTCCCATATCAAATTGCAGACCTGCCAAATAACTCACACATACAAAGCTTGGGGACCATCACCTTCCTAAAAGCAGAAGATCCACTTTATTTAAACCTTGAAACAGAATTTTTCAAGTTGGATGCAGGAGTAGGCAAGAGGAGGAATGTAGTGAACCTGCCTGTGAAAGGCTTGAATTTGTTTTCCAGGTCAAACTGCTGCTTCCCCAGAACTCCAAGGTCTACTTTCAGGTCAGGGCAAATTGCATATTCTTCAATTGTCTTGCTGATTTGGAAAATCTTATCAGTGATTGCTTCTGGAGCAGGACCTAGAAATCAAACAGCATACGGTGAATAATTTTATGTAGCTCACTCAAAAATAGAAAGAATCCAAAGTTCATCAGTTCTTTACTGGCACATGAACCACTGTCAATCAAGAGGTAATGTGGCAGGATTATTCTAAAACACTATATTCATGGGCTCTTCATGTCTACATATAGTTGAATGAGAAGCACTGCACTGTCACCAGAAAGAAGCAAAGATTCCTCCCCTTATGAAAGATGAGGACCAGAACCCTGGTCTCCCAAAGCTTCAGATACTGGTCTATCTGATGTTATGGACAATTGTTTGCCCAGAAATGACAGCTAACTCACCTCCATTAGAAATATTAAATTTGATTCCAAAATCTCCATTGGGCCCTCCAGGGTTGTGGCTGGCTGTCAGAATGATTCCACCAATGGCTTTAATTTTTCTGATGATGCAGGACACTGCAGGGGTGGACAGGATTCCATTCTGCCCAATAACCAAGCGACCGATCTAGAAGAAACCCAGAACACACCTATTAACATCCATGCATCCACGGCAATAGCTCACAGACACAGAACCATAGGTTGACAGGCAGAGAAAAATTCTGTTGGGCCAGAAAAGATCTCTTTGATCACCAGCCACCGCTTGAATATTCCCACAAAATTGCAGAAGTAGAATCAGTAGTACAGTATAAGATACCTCCCTTAGACTTCCTGGGGACTGTATGTTTCAGAACTAGGTGTGTTGTGGAATTGTGAGATTCAGGTAAGAAAACACAGCAAATTCAAAACTGCATTTTTATATTTGCCTTTTAATTTGGATTCATTGGAAGACTGGTAGACAACCATAATATCTTATCTTATTGGGTCAATAATGCAAGAAGGAAAATAGGTTTAGCTAGGAAAAGGGATTCTTTCGACAGAGAGGGATTTTAGAAAGTAATTTTTTTTTTGTAGCAGAAAGAGCAAATTTTATACCAACAATACAATACACTGCATGTTATAAAATTATCTTGAGCTGTTTCTGTGGCAGTTTTCCTCAAAGCAGGATATAGCTACAAGTACATGATGGGGTATAGCTGGGTTACCACCAGGGCCTAAGACAAGAATACTGGGAGTTACTGTGGAGAACATGAACCATCAACATGAAAGGGTGACAGCTGGGACTTAACTCACCACACCACCTCTCCCATAGATGCTATCAGCACAGCTCCTTAATCTTCCCTTGCTAAATCAACAGGGACTTATATCTGTTTCAACTTGACCCAAGATGGCAAGGAAGAAGTGTCATCACTTCTTCTGACACACTTGGAGAAGACGTGACTGCTACACTGAAAAGACTTCCAAGACTGGGAAGTCTATGTTTTTCCATTCTGCCTTCTGAGAGAGGAAATGGATAGCAAAAGCTTGTAAGTTCCTAATGACCATCCTTGTTTTCCTCTCCACCCACGGTAAATTCAACTGTAGAAATGACTGGCGGGTGGAAGATGTGTTCCTCATGCTTAACATGCCAATGAGATCCTGGGCTTCCCCAGGGAGTGCTTTTCTGTGCAGGTAGATCTGCTGCCCTCCTTGAGAACCTGATCCCTCCACAAGCAATTGCCTCCCAGAAAGCACCCGGTTCATCTCAGTCACCTCTTTGCCCTCACATGTGCATCCATAAGCACTTTCATTGTGATAACCTCCTTAATGTGTTTTTGTCCTGCCTTGCCCAGAACACAGTAACCATCAGGGCAGGTGCCAACATCAGGATCCTTTGCAGATGCAGAGAACCTGCAGATGATATGGAGTCAATGCAGGATTACTGTTGAGTCGTCGAGAGCTTGTTGCCTCCCGGAAACTTCCAGTCCATTCTCAAGTTGCTCCTCCCAGTCCTCACCATGGAGGCAGAAAGGTAAGGTGCAGAGCTCTCACAAACCTGCTCATTCCTTCACTCTTGCATCCACCCAAAAGCAGTAATGACAAGCACTGAGAGACACAGTAGACGCTGAGATAGGTGGCATGATAAGGCCACCCAGCCAGTCAGTCACTAAAGCCACTCCTGACTCATGAACAGTGACATCTCACCCTCTTCCAGTAGTTTCCAGGATGGATTGTGATTTAGAATAAAGGCCAGTGGTCAGGCAGACCCAAGAAACCTATAGAGTGAGCTCAGGGTGGCAATTCAGGCAAAGTTGCTGGTGAGGATATTGGGAAATTCTCTTTGCACATCAAGCACTCAGGCTTTCATTAAAATGCCAATTATGTAGTACGAAGGGAGAGGCTGAGGGACTTCAAGCAACAGCACCCAGGTTGCTCTAAATTCTACCACTCCTTATGGTGATGTAAGTCAGCAGTGGTCCTGGGTCAGGAAAAAGGTCAGAAATCAAGTCAGGAGTTAGAAGCAAGGAAAAGTCTGCAATAGCTTCTTTGTCTTGAGCTGAAGAAAGTGTCTATTTGGCCAAAGCACTCCTGTTTTAGAGCAGATTCGGTCTGGCTTATCAGACCCAGGACTATCACACAGCAACCCAATATAGGGACATATTGCTTTATTATCTTACTTCCTCAAAAGCACCTGAACCACTGTAATCACTTCCAATCCCATTTCCCGTGACTCTCTAACCAAAACCTTCCTTGCTACTCCCCAGCTCAATCCATCCTGCATACTTGAACCATAACTTGGTATCCCTCTTTTTACTCAAAAACCTTCCTTCCCCACAAGATACTGAAAGAGGGATTCGGACACTACAGCACCGAGGCTCACAGCAATACTTCTCACAGTGGCCAGAAAGTGTGAACGACCCCAATGTCCATCAATATGTTCACAGATATGCAAAATGCTGTGTATGCTGCCACGGAATATTATGTATCCTTAAAAAAGGAAAGCCTGTTACATGCTACCCATGGCTGGACCTTGAAAACATTAGACCTAGTGAAATAAGCCAGTCACAACAAGACAAACACCATAAGAGGTTGGTAAAGCAGCCAAAACTACCGAAACAAGGTAGACTGGTGGTTGCCAAGGCTCAAGGGAGGGACAAGGAGGTAGTTTACAGACAAGCTGTTTCAGCATGACAAGATGCTGACACTGATGCTGATGCAAGCGACTCTAGAGAGCTTCTGCACAACACTGAACAGTCAATGGTAATGGACTGTACTTTTAATATGGTTAAGTCAGAGGGCTGTCATTGTGGCATAATGAGCTAAGCTGCTACCTGTGACAGTGGCATCCCATAGCACACGGCCAACTCAAATCCTAGCTGTTCTACCTCCAACCAGGCTCCCTGCTCATGCTCCTGGGAAGGCAGCAACAGATGGCCTGAGTGCTTGGGATCCTGCCACTCACATGGGAGACCTGAATGGAGCACCAAGCTTCTGGCTTTGGTCTAGATTACTGTGGCCATTTAGGAGAATGTCCTGGATGATTCTTCTCTCTTTTTCTCTTTCTTCTCCCCACCATTTCTAAGTAATATATTATATATATATGTATACTCTGCCTTTCAAGTGCATGAATAAATTTTAAAATGGTTGACAGTTCATTTCATGTTGTGTTTACCACAATTAAAAACATATCTCTAAAATTAGTCACTATTCAAAAATGACATTGCCATCTGCAGATATGGATTTGACTTGAAGGATACACCAAGGACATATTCTCTGTAAAACTAAAAAGGTAGACTGGAATTCCGATACATTAACCTTGAAAACATTTTGCTAAACAAAATAAACTAAATACAATATCCATATTCATAAAGAGAAAGCAAAAAGGAGACTTCTGGGGCTGGAGGGAGGGCAACAAGGTATGGCTGTGTAACGAGTGTGTGGTTTCTGTTTAAGATGATCAGAGTCCTGGAGGTGGACACGGTGACAGCTGTACCTCACTGCGAATGTCACTGATGACACTGAGCCATGCATGGCAGGTGGTCAGCAGGACAAGCTCCAGGTTGTGTGTATTCTACCTTCCTTGGCTCCTGAATGCAAGATCCTGGAACAATTCCTGCTTTGCCCTTTGTCACCATCAGGACTCTGCCTCACCTGCTAACCCCTCCTCTCCCTCCACTTCCTTCTCTTAACTCAGGTCTCACTGCCATGGTGGATACTTCCTGGAAAGCTGCCCAGACTAATAATAATTAAACATAGCAGGTGCAAAGTTAAAGCTTTTCCTTTTACTTGAAAATAACATTGCTGTTTTCTTAGGCTAAGAGAGAAAACTCCCTTTTCTTTGTCCTGCTAGTAATCACACAGACAACCCTGCTCTCACCTGAGAGGACAGAATGAGATATCAATATCATACACGGAGCTCACCAATGTCTTATTTCATGCATTAAAATGTTCTGTAAAAGCAGTCAGCTGTATGCAAATAAGAACAAAGAAAAACTTCTACTGGAGGCAGAATGTATTCTAGAATCCATATATGCACCAGATAAATGGGGAAGAAATGAAACAGTCTCTATTTAGCTCTCTAGACAGAAGAGCACATCAAGAACTGGCTCACAGGTGCAGTGGGCATTGAGAAAAGTGAGAAACTGACTTTTATGGGAATCTGCAGCAGTAATTATCCTAGCATTCCTCCTGTCTGTCCTGCCCACAATAAAAGGGATGTTTCAAGTAATCAGAAATTAGGGTATGTTAGAAAAAGAAGAAATCAAACACTTTAGAATTTCACAGGTTTTATCAGGTTAAGGTGCTTTATCCCTCCACTAAATGTCTTAAGTAATTCAGTGGGGCAGCAGCACTGCTTTTCGATGTAACCCTCTTAAATAAGAAATGCCCTTGAAAAGCCTTGAAAATATAGGTTGGATTGCCACAGCTCTAACAAATAGGCAGTTACCACATTAGTCAATGATGGCCTCTTTAATGTATTATTTAGCGAAGTCGCAGAGAGTAAATCTGAGGCAGTCCATGGGGATCTGTTCAATTACACATTCCCATCATCTCTTCTGCGTGCTACAGCTCAATACAAAAAAAAATGAAGCTGAATCACAGCTGAGGGGACAGGGCACCAGCCCCGCACAACGGTACCAATACCTGCAGAGAAAGTGTGTTCTACACGCTCTCTTCTTAAAACCTGAAATGCATCTTAATGCCATTTCCTCCATAGCACTCCCTCAAGATGACATTTACAGCGTGTCACTTTTTATTGTGAAGTACGTATGCTCTATAATAACTTCTGATTGGAGTGGCTTTATCAGCAATTTTTATAGGAGAGGCATTCCAATTCTGAAAGTGAGCATCAAAGAGAAATTTTCTTCATCAACACAAGGTTTAACAGATGCTCTCACATGGCAGTTTGGTGGGCTGGTTTTTGTTTCTTTCTTTTTTCCCACACCTGCGAGCACACCTGCTTGGCAGGTTATAAAGAGACTGAAAACGCACATCCATCACATTTGGCCACCACACAAAATTCAGAGCCAGACTCTAAACAGATTGTAAAAATGTATGGGCACTGAAGGATTAGGTGCCTGAAATTATTGTGATGTGTTCCCTAAAACACTAATAATAATAGTTTGGGGTACAGTGGAAGAGTGTGCAGAGGCAAAATAGAGGCAAGCTGGTGCCCACCTTTCTATGAGGCAGTACACTGTGCAGCCCTGGTTGCTAATCAAGATCCATGCTTTCTGGTACAATATTCTCCTGATCTGCTTAATCCAGTCAACGTGGCTTTTCATGATGCCAAGCTTTAACAGAGCTTACTAATACTATAGTTTACAGGAGTTATCACTACCCTGCTGCACAAATTCACCACACAGAGGCCGTCTTTGTGGCTAGGGTCATTAGAAGCAGGTCACCCCCGCACCCCTAAAACAGGTCCCCTTCAGTAGCTTACACCTAACATTTTTATCAATCCGCTCTTTGCATTTCTGCATGACTACCAAGATCCATAAACAACAGCTTACTCTAGCTTTTGTTTTCCTGTTTGACAAGTGACTGAACTTCAACAAGGAAGCCATAGAAAGAAGACAAAATCCTTCCCGCTCTCCACCATTCATTAGTGCCCTCTTGCACAGGGGAGGGGTGCCCCTTGAAGCTAGTTAGAATGAAGAAAAGACAGCTGAAGGCTGGGCGTGTGCTTTACAGGTCTACAAAGCAACAGGTTACTTCCACGAATGACAAGGACAGAGGACAATATATTAAGAAGCAGGATCGACATACTTGCATCCCATTGTGATTAAAGGAATTTCTGTAGCTTTTGCACAATATACACTCAGAAGTTGCGAAGCAATTTAACTAACGGTTAGTAGAATTGGGATGTAAACCATCTACAATGTTTTGCTCGTGTGTATATTTCCACAAAGTTAAGAGGTTATTTGAAGAGTCAGCAACACAGTATACCAACCCCATTGGCAGCTGCCATCTGCAATATTGTTTCTATTGCTGATTTGTTAAAATATCGCCCATCTCCACCAACCACCAGTGACGACCCCTGGCGATCTTTTAGGTCCATGGAAAAGAAGATACTTTGGATGAAATTTTCCAGATAGCATGGCTTTGACTCGAAATAACATGTTTTCTTCCGCAATCCACTTGTTCCTGGTTTCTGGTCGTGGTAGGGAGCTGTAGAGAAGGTCAACAGAGGGAGAGGACCTTCTTCCATTCTTCTGTAGGCTCCAGAAATCCATCCATCAAAATCACTCATCTTTCATCTCCACCACGTGGCTCAGTCGGGGTATCGGGAGAGCAGATAATGGTGCCCCCAAAGAGTCCCTCCTACCTGGAGTCAGCAGGGTTGTCCTGAGTAAACCAAAACCGAGCTTTGGCTGGCAAAGTCACTTACAATGAGAAGATAGGGTTGGTTCCTAGTTGTTGTTGCCCCTTTGCGAAATCCAAGGGCCACTCGCCCATGCCCACCCACACACAGCAGCCCTGAGAAGTTGTTTTCATGAAGACGTTCCTGCGCACACAGCCCAGCCAAACACCCTTCAGTGACTGTTGCCTTCTTTCCCCATTAAGGTAGAGACAGCTCCCAAGAGGGCTGCCCGCTGCAGACTTGAGTTACAAGCACCAGGTGGCTGCCAGAGTCCACTCTCCAGCCATGGGCAGAGGCAGAGCAGGATCATGAAGCAGTCACCCTGGTGTGAGTCCCTGGGCCGCCTGCCTGCCCGCCCACCACTGACTTCGAGCCTCTCCCGGCTGCCATCTCGGAGAAGGACATCCACTGCTAAAGTGGCTCTGTGCCTTCCGGCAAGTGAAAGGTCAAGATTAAAATGGAAGGGGGGGAGCTCAGTTACCTCTGCTTTCCTTACAGCACTGTCATGTTAATATTCCCAGGTAGACAAAAGGGGGAAAAAAAGTGACTAACATAACAGGTTACCCATTAGCAATCAATTACTAATTGATCCCCTGTGTGAATTCCCCCAGTGATCAACAAGTTGGACCATTCCCTTCACTTTCTGGGAAATTGGGGATGAGAAGGCTCCATAGCATAAACAGAACAGAGGGAAACAAGTTACATTTCTCTGGGCACAATGTGAGATGAAGTTATTTAGAAAAGTAACATAAAACCAAGATCAACAACATCAGAACTTTTTCTCAGTATGAGATAGAATTACTTTCCAGAAAGCAATTCGACCAAAGCAGTTTAAGTCCTTTGCATGTAAGACACCTAAGAATTTTTTTTTAATTTTACCTGAATGTAATCTCTACTCTTTATTCCTCCTGGAACTTTTTGCTTGTTTATTATTAATGATATATATATTTAAAAACAGACCCAGGTACTGTCCATCTGGTTCAGCAGAAGTCATCAATTCAGAAGTGCTTATCAGCTATAGTCTTTTAAAAGTGGGGGAGCGCAAGGAGGAGTGGGTGGCACAGGCAGTTGGGAGGGGTTCCACAGTCAAAGAGTTTGGGTGATCTTGTAAAGGATGTGTCAAAAGTAAACCAGGACTGGTCATGCTGCTTGTTTGGAGAGTTGGACATGCATGGAGAAGTAAGGGTTTCAAGGAAAAGTGCATCATTCCATGAGACCAGATCTGACTGCTTTTCTACTAAGAAGGTAAGCATGATCTAAAAGTCATCAGGCCCTGAGAGCAGCGAAGTGCCCTCTCTGGGGCCATGAGCCCCAGGACTTCCACGGTTCCCCTGCCCAGGACCCCATGGGCAGAAAGCAAGCCACAGGCATTGGAGCCTGGTCCCCTTCAAATCACACCCCAGGGCCAATTGTGTGCCAAGAATACCTCCAGACACAGCATGAAAACATCTCACAAGGCACATCTATCACACTGAAAACCAGTCAGTCACACAGCAACTACTGTTTACAGTCTATTCATTAGGGTGCTTTGTTTTATAGAATTATGTACTTGAGAGGCAGAAATTCAAAGAGTAAGAGGCCATCTGATACTTATATTTTGTTTTATTTTCAATTACTTCACTTTATTTCTTTGTAAGACATAGGGAAAGGGAGAAAGAGAGATACTTTATCCACCTGTTCACTTTCCAAATATCTGTAAAACCCAGAACCAGTGTATGGTGGAAGCCAGGAGCCTGAAACTCAGTCTGGCTCTCTCACAGGAAATGACAGGGACTCAACCACCTGAGCCATCACCTGCTGCCTCCCGGGGTGCATGCTAGCAGGAACCTGGACACTTGGAGCAGAGCCAGAACTTGAACCCAGACACTCCACTACTGCATGTGAGTCCATAAGCAGCACCTTACTGCTAGGCCAAATGCCCACCCTTGCTTTTTTTTTTTTTTCTTGCTATAGCTTTTAAAAATAATATCACTTAGAGAGTAATTTAAAAGGCAAGCTTGCTTCATTAATGACTTACATATCTACTATTTCTTGGCAGGAAGCCGAAGTCAGGACCTGCAGCTAGGCAGCAGTCCTGTGTCCTCGGGTGTGGGACAGGGGTTATGTTAATTTGTAGACTAAACACCTGTTCCTTATTCTGGTTTCAGATACACTTTCCAATTCCTGAAAAGTGGGTCTTGACATATTTGGGAATTGATTTTGATTTATGAAACATTCCAATAATCTCTTCAATGAGATAACAAGAGTGCCTGAGCATGTCGTTGCGGCTTTCTTAATGATATCTCAAAATCACAGGGGAGCCAGGGCACAAGGGTGCTCCACTACCACCTGCCAAGGCTTCCCTCCATCCAACACAGCACTGCTGGCGGTTGGCCATTCCCTCAATCAAAACTCTTAGTAGCTGAAGCTCATTCTTCTGAACAACTACCTATGCAGAGCATGGTACTTGTCAATGTACAAATCCAAACCAAAAACACATAACCTTGCCCGGGAAAAAGCTTCTATTCTAAATATGTGCCCAAGTCATAATTTTCTGGATGCTATAGAACTCAACCCCATATAAAAATATTACCAGAAGCAGCGCTGTGAGATGGACTGTGACATACGGTGAAAAAGAAAAGGCATTAAAAACATTAAGCTTCCTAAGGCGCTCCAACTAAGTGGGGGAGCCATTAAGAAACCCATTTGTTTCCGCTCTCCAGCAAAGGTTGAACTCCATCTTCAGAAACGTTCCTGTCGAGCATAGCGAACCCAATTTGGCCTAATGAATTTGCCTGCATTGCCAGTACTCCTTCACAATGACACAAATTACATTTAAACCATATGGGGGATTTAAGGATGACTCCCTTCAGACAAGGAACTTTCATACTGGTCTTGGGTCCTATCAATTTCACAATGGCAGAGTTATGAACCCCCTTGTTCTCAGCCTTGCTAAAAGACTCCAGCTCCCATTCTCAGCAGCAATGACATCTTTCCAGCAGAACACAGCAGATGCAATGGACTTGCCAATCCCTTTTGTATCCTTTCTTTCCATCAACAAATATTTAGAGAAGGAAGCTGACCACTGGTCGTGGATTCCATAAGAGCAGAGCCGAAAGCTTGAATGGGTTTATCTCTTCATTCCAAGAGTTCCTATCTTAGCAATTGTCACAGATGGAACATTTTAATCCTGTTCCCTTAGGCACAAGCACAAGGTAGAAAACTATAAATTGGGCCACATCAGCAGGGTCATCAAACACCAGCCCCAAGCCCTAGGCTGATGACTACAGTAGTTACTGACCACTGAGTACTTGATGTGCTCATCCCAGCAGTGGGAGATAGTCATTCAGTTCTCCAATCAACATCACTAAGCTCAGGTAGTAAATGCCAGCCCCATGCCAAGCACTGAAAAGCAATGGCAAAGAAACCAGGGCTAGGGGTCAAGCACAACATAGGTCTAACTATTGACTCTAAACTGAGGCTGTACATGGGGATAGCGCTGGAGGTTGTTCTGAGAATGGAAACAGGTAGCATATGAGAATACCCAATACTATGCCTAACATCAATAATGCTGCTGCAACTGCTCTGAGCATCACTTCCCTCCTCTCCACAGGGGGATAGCAGCTGCTTCCCAATTTTTTTTTGTTTGTTTGGTTTTTTTTTTTTTTATTGGAAAGGTGGATATACAGAGAGGAGGAGAGACAGAGAGGGAGATCTTCCGTCCGATGATTCACTCCCCAAGTGAGCACAACGGCCGATGCTATGCCGGTCCAAAGCCAGGAGCCTCTTCCGGGTCTCCTGCATGGGTGCAGGGTCCCAAAGTTTTGGGCTGTCCTCGACTGCTTTCCCAGGCCACAGGCAGGGAGCTGGATGGGGAGCAGGGCTGCCGGGATTAGAACCGATGCCCATATGGGATCCTGGGCATGTTCAAGGCGAGGACCTTAACCACTGCGCCATTGCACCGGGCCCTGCTTCCCAAGTTTTTAAGAGGACTGCCTCAGCATGTGTCTGCGCCAGCCTTTGTGAACTAGACAATCATAACAAGCTAGAAAGTGCTGCTTTTGACACCGGCAAAGAGTGGGGAGCATTCCACCACCAGTGGGGAGACCTGGTGTGAGGAGCATTCACAGACCTGTACATTTCTTCACTCATGGGGTTGCAGTGGCAGAGATGAGGACACAGAAATGGCTGGGGCAAAGTTCTAGGGCCTCATAAACCATACCCAAGTCTGTTTTATAGGCATGTGGAGACTTTTAAGCAGCAAAGAAGACATAAACTAATGTCTTTGGAAAGTTGATTGGCAGGCCATGGTGAACAAAGGAAAGCTTGAGGAAAGAATAACCAAGGCTGCCAGAAGCACTTCCTTATTTGGGCAGAATGCTGGCAAATATCTTGTCTAGGGCTGTTCCTCTGTTGGCCTCTAACACTCAGATCCAACTTCAAGTCCCTGGGCCAGCTGAGCGTGGTTGTTTTTCTCTCCTCTAACATAGAGACTCCCTTAGCAGACCCCTTTCTCCAACCCCTTTCCCACATTTACTCAGTCTCTTAACTGCCAACTGCCCCACAAGATTGGAGACCTGGGGTCCTGTTCCTACCACAGGACCCTGGTACCAGCCCATGATCACCAGGGAGGAATACCTTACTTAAGCTTGGTCACTTATCTTTTCTCTCCTCAGAAAGTAGAATAGGGACTTGAAAGCTTAGGTAATTCAGTGAACTCTGCAACCTGGGAGGCAGGTGAGCTCAGGAGCAGGACAGTGAGAATCATGGCCCTGAGCCACAGCAAGAATCAGAACTAATGTCCAATAGAATCAAGCAGAAAATGTGTTGGATGAATCTTCCCAAGTGTGTTAGGGTTCAGACCCATCAGACACACGAATCAGCAAACATGAATTGTGAAGTGAAGTTGCTGGAGGCTCCTTGGGTTTTGATGTCCTGGACCAGGACAGTTCCAGACCAGATCCCTGGCCAACATGCCACTTATCTGTTGACAATGTCACCCCATTCAATTAGAAAGGCAACTCCTAGTTGCTTGAGGTGAGAGAATGCTTTTTTTTAAGTGGGTATTTTTAAACTCAGATTTAGAATGAAGTACAGAGATGATGAAATATGCATTATAAAATGTAGATGATAAGATAAGCATACAGTATAGGTTGACTGTTCCTTATCTGAATTGGTTGGGATCAGCAATTTTTAGATTTCAGATGTTTCTGCTTTTCAAATATTTGCATTCACATAATTAGGTATCTTGGGGGTGGGACTCAAGTCTGAGCACGAAACTCATTTATGCTTCC